TCCAGTGAGAGGGTGATCCCCATTGGGAGAGGGTGAGCTGGCAGAGACCGCGAGTTGTTCATGGTCCTTACCTCAAGCAGAGGAAGTGTCCAAAGCTGGGGAGCACCTTCTCCTCTCTGCCTTTGAAGTCGATGTGCTCTCCACTTGAGCCTTGAACTCAGCTGCCGCAAAGATAATTAAGTCTGAGTCATCTAGTGGCGGATTTTTTTTTAAATGCCTCTTTCAAAATATGATGCATAGTTGCTTCACTTCAATTACTCAATGGCATGAATGAAACACTACCGTGTCTATCTAGATGAGTAGACAATGCTACCTATGCAATAATTTCCTCCCTGCCAAACACACAGATAGACAGGCACACACACACAGAGAAAGAGAGAGAGAGAGGTAAATGTAATGGCTACTTTACCAACATGATTAAGTCATGTATATTGAAAAAGGGGTCAAAAGCTGAATTGGAAAAGAAAGCATTTTCCTGTTGTCTGAGCTCAAAAGCTGTTTTTTCCTTGTCAGGGTACCTGTAGGGGTTGGCTTCAGAGCTGCCCACAATCTGCTTGGACTTTGGTGGATCAGATTCAGTTAAAAATACATGAGTCTTGATAATGAGGCTGACCTATTCACCAGCTTAGCCACAGCGCAGGCCACAGATGGCCACAAGTGTCTGCTCCTTTTCAGAAGGTCATTCATGACCTCTGGTCCCAGCATTCCTTAAAATAAGTCGGGTGGCTTTGTCAACTATTTTGTAACCTGATGTCTCAGTTCTAAACGCTGTACTCACCGCTCTCTCCTATGATAATCATTGCATTTTTTTTTCAGGGTAAAAAAAATTTAATGGAACTTTAGAATTGGTGGTTGATGACTTGGATTTTGTGAACTTCTGAATTTAACAGATGTCATTTTCTTAAAATATTTTATTTATGTATTTACATTATTGTTCACTTATAATCATTGCATTTTTAATGGCCAGAGATCTGATGGCATGAGGCACCTTATTTGCCATTTTCTGGGTAACATTTGATGACCAACTGTCCTGGTTCTCACAGGCTAGAGGACTTTCAGTATAAAGCCAGGAGTTCTGGGAGAAGCTGGGAAGCCCACACTAGGGAACCTGATCTCTCTAGCAAGAACAATCATCACCCACAGCCAATGACTTTCCTGGTTTCTTACCTAGTGTACCTTAAGTTATATTGACCTATTTAACCTGAGTTTCCTTAGGGGTAACATGGGACTAGAAGTAGTAGCTACCTTAGTAAGTTCTGGAGAAAATTTGTTGATAACTATCTTCAACCTTTCAGGTGACCTGGGGCGCAGGGTTTGGGAAGAGTCCTCAGGGAGGGTGACCTGGATGGATGATAGGAGAATGTGAGATGTGGCGACTCTGCCTAATGGTCCAGGAGGCTCTTTCATGCCCCTGCCCTGTGCACTCCACTCCTTGGAGAACTGGCTTCTCTGCGTCTCGAGCCATCATCAGTAAAACTGGTGATCACATTTACTTCGGAGCGTCCAGATGAGAATTCTACTGAATGACCTAAGCTTTCCACCCAGTGTTAACACATTACAGGCACTGTAATTTGTATTTCCCCTGTTTTTATTTTAACTCAATAACTTAAAAGATATTTTAAAATAAACAAAATTTATTCTTTGTGGCTTTTTTTTTTTTTTGCATTTATCCTTCATTTGGAAATTAGCACATTTTTCCTTTTTAGAGTTTCCAACAAATCAACATGCAATTGTTGAAAAGGTTGGTTTGTGGGGGAAAGGAAGTAATAGCCCAGCTCTTGTGGGACATGGTCTAACTTTAGACAAAGAGGTTCAAATAATCGGAGTTTAGGAAACAAAGTATGAGGAAGAAAGAGTAGCTAATTTTTACTTCATTTGAAAAGGAGCTTAGAAATTGGTTCATTAATCTTCTTTTCTACTGGAGGAATCAGTGTTGGGCAAATTTGCCAAATTCATCATTAAAAATGACAACGGGCCCTCCCTGGTGGCGCAGCGGGTTAAAGCACAGCACTGAGAAGCTAAAGCCACTTCCTCTTGAGTTCGATTCCCGCCTGCCCCCGAGGAGACATCTTGGTGCGGCAGACCTCTCCTGACCCGCCCGTTGCTCCCCTCAGCAGTGTACTTCGTCGATCTGCCTGTTCTGCTCCCCACTCTGTCTCTGGTGAAGCCTCTCGCCGCCCCTGAGCCTCTGGCCTGTACCCCAGTTCTGTATGCACAAATAAATAAATCTTAAAAAAAAAAAAAAAAAAGACAACCACAGAAGCCAGCAGCACCATCTCATTTGCATTATTTACATTAGTTTTTCAAATTGAACTTGAGGTCTGCTGGGAACTCCTGCTCTTCCAGCCTGCCCATGTTGGCAGTCTAGAATGCTAGATTAATTATTTCACACTAATGGCTGACAGTGTATTCATCTCTGCAGATCAAGGGCCACCTGTAACTAGAACTCCAAAAGAAAAATCATAACTAACTAGGTAGAAGCATTGTCCATTTAAGAAAGATATCAAGATACAGTGTTTAGTAATCAAGTATCTATGAATTCTTGGCTTCTAGATTGTTTGGGCTGTGCCCATATTTAAAGCAGCTTTTAGTAAATATTATGTTAATAATAAAATATTGTTAATAAAACACTTTTTGGAGTTTGGAAGATACATGATGTTCTTTGTGGGAGACAAAAGGCGGTTATATATATATGGGGGGCAGATAGGGCTGTTTCAGGGTAAAAAATAATTGGAGTTCTAATTTCTCATTGCCTCATCCTCAACATTTTGTGTTGGTGGAATCTGGTTAAAGGACCCCCTGAAGAAGGCTGGAGAAGGTAGAAAATAAGAGCTAACATTTATTGTTTATTATGCTCATTAATTCTCCACTGCGACTGTATGAGGTACTATGACCATTTTCATTTTATGGACGGGGAAACTGGCAAGTTAAGCAAATTGCCTAAGCTCAGGCCTCACAGCCTGACCAGTGTGGAGCAGGCTTTAGGACCCAGGTGTTCTGCTTCCAGGACTCTTCCCTTAACTACTAGGTTAGGCCTCCTTAGTAGGCAGGTCACTAAAGGACACCTGTGGCCCAGGGCATGTGGAAGGTAAAGGTACGAGAAGGATGTTGTTGGTAGGTAACCAATCTGGTTTTCCGAGCTGCTAATTGAATATGTGTGAGTAAGTCAGGTAGCTCTATGTGTTGTCTGAATTTGCTAATTTATTCCTGACCAGCGGAAGTTGCTTGGGGTGTGTGTGCCCAGAGAGGAGTGACGTTATAGCTTGTTCTGGAAGGGCAGGAGGGCGATTTCCGGCAAGATCATCCTATCACCTGTCACCTCTTTTCCTCCCAAATGTTCCAGACTACACTTCCCTGATGTCTGTGTGATGACGTTTCTGGGTGGAAACCTCAGACTGACTCAGATGGTGGCTTCTTCTACCAGTCGGGTCTGGAATGGTTTATGGCAGTGACTCCCTCTCTCGGTTTTGAAAAATAAACACTCACTTACCCTCTTACTTCACTCATCAGCTATCTTATTTATTTTTTTAAAGATTTATTTATTTATGCACACAAGAGCTGAGGTGCAGGCCAAAGTTGCGGGGGATGAGAGGATTCACCAGAGACAGAGTGGGGAGCAGAACAGGCAGATGCGCTGAAGTACACTGCTGAGGGGAGCAGCGGGGAGACAAGAGAGGTCTGCTGTGCCATGTGGGCCAGCTCCCGGGCCAGGAATTGAATTCGTGCTGCAGTGGCTGCAGACAGCTTCTCAGTACTGCATCTTAACCTCTTGTGCCACCAGGGAGGCCCAATCATTTACCTTAAAAGGAGTCATCTTTTTCAGTTCAAAGTAAGTTTAAATTCATACTACATTAAAACAGGTGACTTTTGTGACATGACGGATTTTGTGGTATGATGCAAACAAGATAGTGGATAAAATTTCAAGGCTTCTGGGACTCTCTGGGGTGAGACCAATTCAAATGGACAAGGACAAATAGCAAAACGAAAGAAAGCCACCAACAAATGGGTGGGGATTTCTCCACCTTTGTGCCATTGGCATTTTGGGGCACATTTGTCTTCCAGAGAGGATGTTCAGCGGCAGCCCCACCTGCACCCTG